GCATTATCCAATGATCCAGTTTTTAATAACTTTATTTATACACAGTTTTTCCATCAGTTGACTTAGTTAATTCTATACTAAAAACCCATCTATCTAACTATAATAATAATTTGATAATAACAATTCAAATAAATACTCTCAACACTTACATTTCCTTGTCTATTGACTAATCCCCCGGCTGTGTTCAGAAACATGACTTTCATTGGCTGTAACTCTTCTGCGATTCTGACAGCTGCATGATGAGATTCCACACAGAGCACTTGACCTGAGGGGGATTCCCCAACAGCTGTCAACACAGGAATATGTCCAGATCTGGAAAGATCAATACAGGTACAATCATAAGTGCTTCAGGCTAAGACTGTTTTAGTTATCTTATCACAGAGTAGAATTAAATTTTGGTGGTTATATTTGTATTGTAGCACAATTTGGGAACCTGCATTTACCATCGTGTAACAAGCAATAATGTTTCTATTGGTTGTATGGTGCTTATTGTCTAAAGTTACAGTGAGATTTACATTTTCTTAAAATACAAGTAACAATCTGTTGTTTTAGTTTAATGACAACTAAAATGCCTTTTTCTCCATTGTTTTGCAAGTATTATGCCTCACATACTATTGTGCATATCCATTTCTCCTCTCATTTTTGCCTAACACTAAAATTTTATCTTTGGCTGCCATGTTTTGATCTAGGGTTGCCACATGCAAAAAGGCGAGCTTTGAGGCCTCTTAATTCAGAGTCTTAATGAAATGTGAACCTAAAGTCATTCAATTATCTAGACCTTCTAAGCCACAATATATCATTTTTAGAAGACAGTCTGAACATATCTAACTCTAACAAAAATTGCCTATTTGTAAACAATTGCAAGTTTCCAATAGAAATACCTTAGACACCACTGTAATGGTCTTACATCCACCTCACATATCTTTCCACTAAAAGCACTGCTGAAAAAAATGTTAATATATGAATTATCAAACATTTCCAAAACTGATAATTTCCTTTTTCATGCTCCTTGTCAAGAATTTAAGTTGCTTGAGCCTGACTTGTAGCTTACTATTCTGGTAAAAAGCTGTTTGTGCTAATTTTCTCATCATAATCATAAGCTCAAATTGAACCCAGTTTGAATATATACAACTTACTCCAGAGTAAAAACAAATGTTCCGCAGGAACTTAGAATCCCACAAAATTTCTCCATGTCACACAAAGCTAGTTGTCACTGCAACATCTACTCCTTATTGTGTTGCTAGGACTTTTTGCTTCCTTCCGTAACTAACACATACAAAGATGCATGGATGATAGCTGCATATGCAACTTACCCAGGTTCATCAAGCTCCAGTGCTGAGAGAACATGACCAGAACCCATAAAGGGTCTTGCTTTACTTCCATGTTTTTCCAAAAGATCAACAAGTTCTATGTTGTCTTCAATCAACTTAGCTCTTCTCAACTTGGGATCCCTGTTTTCAGTATCTGAATGAGGATCCAAGCCATGAACTATGATCACAGGCATCCCATTGCGGTGAAGGAATGCCAAACATGATGAAAGCTTTTCTAACTAGAGGAAATAACAGAAGAAAGCTTGGAATTCATCCTCTACACCTTAACATTAAACCCTATGCATATTCTCCATACTGTTCTCTATACATTTCCTAGGGTACTGTTGAGGAGAATTTGTTTAACAATCAAGAGCTTCTTTGGTTGGTGATCATTTCCTTTCTTCTCGTGACCTTAATGTTTGATTCAGGGGTGATATTGTAAGGAGAAATTAGATCCTAGTCACTCTTGGGAAGTTTGAGATTTTAAAGAAGAAATTCCCTTGCAAAAATTGTTGGACCTGATGCCATAAAACGTGGCTAATTGTTACAAATCAAATTGAACCCACCATAACTTTATCATTTAATATTGCAGAGTCAACTTGTACCACAGCAAATGGCTGATCAGGGGTAGATTCATGCTGCTGAAACTGCCGCAGCCAATAGCGTGCCTCCTTAGGGTCTGTACCAATCTGAAATGAGGAACAATCCACAGGTCTCAGATAGTGAGGATTCAATTCATGGCGAATGAAATATCTTGGATATTCAACTTTAGAAATGAGTATAAAGTATGTCATACTTCACCTGGATTATAACTAATTGACTCAGACTCATTTTCTACAATAAATGGTTTTGCCTTGTTAAGTTTGTCAACATTACTTTGTATTGTTTTTTCAAGGTCAGGGTTAATTCTGTTTTACCAGACTAAATACACAATGCAACAGACTTAACACCTGACAATTATTATTCGTCTCTTTCAAGTAATTTACCTCCTCTAGAAATCGTCGTAAATCTTGTTGCCTGCTCGAATCAGAAAACAGCTTCAGATTTTGGCTCGAAGTAAACAAGCATCTCTCCCAAGGTTTATGACAATTACTCCCTTTGAATAACTCTTTGATCTTTCCTAATCGGCAATGAACTAAACGACCAAAAGGCCGTCCCAAAACCCGTGTTCCCCTCATGACAACCCACTTGAACTCTTGATAGAAGATATCATTTTGACGACACAAAGTTAGTTGCCAAAGTGCTATTTGCCGTTCAAACTGTGACCTTGACTTTATCGTTTTCAGCTTGAGGAGATCTCGCGTAGGAGGAATCACAAAAATTTGATTGCATCATATAGTATTGTGATCTCAAGAAAAAACCGGTTTAGCTCCAACAAATCCTCGGTAGAATTAATTAATCACTCTTTCCATTATCATTCAAATTTTTAGAATTACACAACTGCTTTTCTTCAACTTTCCCGTTTTAGTTTACTCTTGTGTTGAAAATGGCGGCGCACTTATCAATCGATTTCATCGATTCTGATTGGTTATCATGTTAATTGCACGTGATGTTCACGTTTCATTGAATTTTCGCGCCATATTGCTGGGGATTGAAACCAAAACATTACCTAAAAGAATATTGTGTTGATATTTGCTACGTGTGATCAATAGCTTTCTGTTATGATTACGTGTCCTCTTTTCAGATTTACGTCTGAATAGGAAGAAAATTTATTCATCACTTCCTCAACATTGCCTTTTGGTTGGCAATCGGCGCACCTTTTTTTTTTATGTAATGAAAGATGTCTATGATCCTGCGAGCTTCGAGCCTACTACGAAGAGGGAAAACTGCCTTTTCAGCCGCTAAGCTTTCATCTGTTTCGACGAGATCACGAAAGGTATAAACAGTTGTAAGATTGATTTCATTCTAGTGTCTCGAATTTTTCTGAGGTACCTTGAGAGACGCACGATCGTCTTATCTTACGCAAGAAAACATAATTTTGGCCACGTTGCATAGATCGATCAAGTGTTTTTTTAATCTGCCCCAAGCTAAGGCAGATTGTCTTCCACATATGCACGTGCATTCGATTGTTAGATTAAATTAGGCAGGAAGCTCAATTTTTCGTGGTATCCAAAAAATCATGACAGGTAGTTCTATTTCGCAATTGAGCGCTTTACACATTATGTCCAAATACAAGAATATGATGAATCTTTCTCGAAATCGGCTCATGCTCGTTGCACGTGTTAGTCTGGAGGGTATAATTTAATTTCATAACTCCTCAGTGGGAGGGGGGGGGGGGCAAAAGATCGTAGTATTAAAGAGTATCTGCATTTTTCACTGAAGTTGAACAAAGAGTATTAATTCGTAGAAAAATTGAAAAATTCGGCATAATTTATGAGGAATTTCATCTTTGTAAAATGATGATTTGAAAGGGTTTTAAACGTTTTCAAGAGTTTAATGCCTATCGATACTGGCTATTTTTCTACTACAACAGAAACCCTCTAAAACCACGGTAAAGAACAATAACCTTTATTGTAGCCCTCTTGTTGGTTGGCAAAAGGTTTGTTTTTGTCTTAGCCGAACCTGTCAACTATGGATGGAGTGTATTTTTAATAAAATAATTTGGATATATCAACAAAGTTGAAATGTAAATTGGCCACCGTAATGATTACAAAAGCTAACGTTTCGAGCGTTAGCCCTTCGCTCCGACGAAGGGCTAACGCTCGAAACGTCAGCATTTGTAATCATTACGGTGGCCAATTTACCATTTCAACTTTGTTGATATATCCAAATTATTTCGTTACTCCCACCGACGCAACCCCAAACAGTTTCTTTCGAAACTATCAGCCTTTATTCATTTGTATTTTTAATAATTTCTGTTTGTGACAGTTATTATCCTTGGACAAAACAAAAATATCCCATCGCTTTATCTAAATATATTTCCTTGAATAAGTGCCCCTGCTCTAATGAGAGTCCTACCCCAAATAACCACCACCCCCCTATGTTATGATATCATACTAGTGCCCCTCTTAAATAAACACCCCTCCTCCCTCACTTTCTTAGATCCCAGGCCTACAATTAAAACCATTCAGTTGCCACTTATTTAGAACTATTTTCAAGCTTAAACTTCAGTAGAATCAGTACGACTTAATATTTTCTTAATAAGGACCCTTCTTTGAATTAGTGCCCCTTTTTGTATCCAAAATTTTGAACAAGTGTCTGTGCATTTATTTTAAGAAGTATGGTAGCTGTACAGACAATTTTGATGAATTTTTAAAGTTGATATTTTAGGTGTTATAGATAACATCTTCCTCCCTAGCTCCTCATTTCTCCAGAGCATGACTTTCTATGAATGTTTCTCTTTTCAGAGTTTGTCTGCATCGTTGGTACTAGAGGATGGAACTCACCTGAAAGGATATTCCTTTGGTCATAGCAAATCTACATCTGGGGAAGTGGTCTTTAATACTGGTCTGACTGGGTTAGTTTTTTTACACATCAGATTTTTACCGACAGTGGTGTTTGTTGGGGAGGGGTCCAGAGAGACTGAGCCCCCCCTCCCCTACTTCATCAGACCTGTGGGCTTTTTTATTGCTTGTCTGAAATCAAAATTCTTGTGAGGACAGAAACATAATTATCTTGCTATTAAACTTGAAGTACTTAAACTTTACTCTTCTCAAAATATTCCTCTATAATCATAATTCTCTTAACCATTGTAAGATTTTAGATTGCCGAATGGCCATTTTGTAAGAAGGTAAGCCTGGAGCATTGATTGATGACAAATGAATTTTCTAAAAAACAACAACTGAAAACCAATACACCGAATTGAAATATGGCGTTCAATTTGAATTACCGTTGTTCTGGACTGACTAGCCTCGTCTTCACATGGAAACACAAAAGGATTATCACATGTGTGAGAGGCTAGTAAGTCCAGAACAATGGTAATTCAAATTGGATGCCATATTTCGATTCAGTGTATATCAAAACAAAAAAGTAGAAAAATAAATTAATAAAAAATGAGTATTCAACCATCAGCAAAGTGTTTCTTTTTTTTTTTTTATTTTGTCAGTAAGAGGAAGATTAGAGGTGTTTACCTCAAATTAATCAGGACTATTTCATATGGAGTTTTTTTTCTTACAAATTTTCAGGTACCCTGAAGCCCTCACAGATCCAAGTTACAGAGGACAGATACTGACCTTGACTTATCCTATAGTGGGTAATTATGGTGTGCCAAGCACAAAAGAAAGAGATAAATATGGATTATTAAAACATGTGGAATCAGAAAATATACAGGTACAAGTGGGATTTTAATCAGATCACTTATGTGCTATGTTTCCCTTTCATTTTCCAACTATACTCCTCTAGAAATAACTAAATTTTCTTTTGTTTGCTTTTGTTTGTTTTGTTTTTTTTTTTACCAGGTGTCTGGATTGCTTGTTCAGGATTATTCTCATAATTATAGTCACTGGAATGCGGTGAAGTCACTTTCAGAATGGTTGCAGGAAGAAAAGGTATCGATATTAATTTTTTTACCAAGCTTAAAGCTTACCATCTTTCTTAGTCTTTACAATTGGCAAGAATATTGTCAATTTGTCATTGTCCATAAAAGTACAGACAACACTGCTTTCATTAATGTTAAATTCACACTATTGTCATGCACCTTAAAAAATTATTTTCTTTGACATTGATATTGTAGTAAAGAAACAAATGGAAAGTGGTTTAGCATGGTCTGTACTCTTCTTGACAGCAATATTTGTCACCACAGTGGTCAAAATTTGTTTCAGACTCACTCGGTTGCACCTTGTGAGTCCACAACATTTTGGCCACCGTTATGGTAATGATGAATATCATTGTCTATAAGAGTACAATTAACCACACTAAACCACTGTCCATTTGTTAAATTTACTTATCTTACATAATTAATTTGAAAATCTAAGTTTGTTAATTTCTGATACAAACCTGTAAAACCTGTAGTTCATCTGAGAAATGACGTAATGATAATAATGTGTGTTCCTTGATGTAAAATAGATTCCAGCCTTGTATGGAGTAGATACAAGAATGTTGACCAAGATTATAAGAGACAAGGTATGTTGTAAATTTCTTCATTATCAAGACAGAATTTCTCCTTACAGCATTAACTCAGAGCTAAGCAGAGAAGTGAGGACAATAAAGAAAAATACCAATTAGGTGATTACTGTGACATAAATATGTAGACTACCCTTAAGCGCGTCTTTATTTGTGTATCACATGACAAGAAATAAAGTGCCTTTGCAACAATGTCAGCCATTTTACTGTGTGTTTATTTTACATGGTGTCAGAGTACAGCAAAAATCCACACCAAACAAAGCCATCATTCTTTAATCTTGGTTTCACATCATTCGTAAAGAATCACTGATCGAAAAAAAAAAAAAAAAAAGCTAAGCTATGGTGGCAAAATACAAGAATCCAGAGATGGTTTGGACATCACACAAGATCTATCCCACTCCAATCTATCCCACTTGCAAAGGCGCTTTATTGCTCGTCACGTGATACACAAATAAAGACGTACTAGGGTAGTCTACGTATTTATGTCATAATTATTATACAGGGCTTGACACTAACTTTTCAACTTACTAGCCAAGTTGCTAGGGACATTTTAAGATGTTATGACAATTTCAGTTCATTTCCTAGCCAAACTGGCAAGTGAAAATCAAAAACCACTAGCCAAAACTGAATTTCTACTATTCTGTGGCTAGTTGGCTACGGTTCAAGTGTCAAGCCCTGTATTAATTGATCCAATACCAAATTCTCCAAACCAACATCCTAGGAGTTGTATAGCAGATAGTAAGGAGAATTACTAATGAGATCTTAGGAGTGAAAAGGTTAAGATAATAGAGATGGTGGGCTCAGTGGTGGCACACTATGACTCAGTCTCAGGAGCTCATGGGTTTGACTTTGGCAGCTGGGTCTCTGTGTTCAGTTCTTAGGAGGCTTTGCTTTTATGTAAGAGCTAGCTAGTCCACTTCCAACTGCAGAAGAAACATTTTCTGATTTTAGTGGTGTCTGGCCACAATAACCTCAACGGTATGTTACATACCATCATGTAATTCATTTATAATTATGTATTTTTTTTTTTTTGTATGTTTATTAAAGATATCAGATGTTATTTTTCTGCTTTTCAGGGAACCATTCTTGGTAAAATAGAATTCGAAGATCAGCCTGTAGAATTTATTGATCCTAATAAGAGGAATTTGACAGCTGAAGTTTCTGTCCAGGTTTGTTCTTCTTTTCTCCTCTTTGTTCTCTATTATTGACTGTTTTCCTGTACAAAAAGACCTAAAAATTTCATCAAAGAATTCTTTTCAATTGCTTCATCAATCAGTTTATTCCCTTCTCTTTGCAAACTCCTTCTTCCATGGTATTTTCCAGATCAATCTCAGTTTCTGAACAACTGTGCACCTACCCCTCCCATAAGCCAAGATTAACCTTACCTGTTGTTGGGTTAGGGGAGGGGTAAGTGCACATTTGTTCAGACACTGACATTGTTCCCATTTTCCCCTCCATTGCTTGTCACACCCTACCCCACCTTTTCACAGCTACTCCCAATATCTGAATTTTGATTCTCCTCTTTAGCTGCCACACATTTCCTTGTAAATTAGTTACAATAATTTGGTGCTAGATCAAGATAACAACTTCTAAATGATAAGTTAGATTATTCTCATCACCTGTTTTATCACTTCTGGGAGTTAAAGGCTTAAGGCAAAGTCTGTACTTAGGCAAAGTGGCACACCCGAGACAGAGCTTATCCCATTTGCCTTAGCATAAAACAACTAGGGTAAGCAATCACTATTCCTGCCTTGGATGAGATGCAAGTCCATTGTACGGTTACCCCCCTCCCCCCCTCCAGCATTTCATCAGGCCTCCCTGACAATTCACTGGCACCCATATATACTCCTGGGTGGAGAAAATTATCTTAAGAATAAAGTATTTTGTACAAGAACACAACACATGCCCCACTCTCCCCCC